CTGAGATGGAATCCTGCTCTGTCGCCGAGGCTGGCATGCAGTGGCATGATCTCGGCTCACAGCAACCTCCGCCTCCCGAGTGCCCACTGGTTCTACTGTTTGCCAGACCCTATGCTAAAGTATCACTGGGTACCCTGAAGAGAGCTCAGCACTTGGGCAAATTGGAAACACATAATGCAAGGCTGATAAAACAACAGCATGGAGAATAATTATTTAGGTCGGGAAAAAAATCAAGATTCCTTTATTATGGCACCAGGCATCTGAAAAATTGGGATTTCTTTGAAAACAATGCACAAATCAAGTAAACGAGGGTTCTGTAAAAGGTCAAATCCTAGTAATAGAGTTAAAGCAATTCTCAGTGAAAGGATACAAAAACAGTGCTTTGTTAAAAGGCTAAAGCAGAAACGTCTAGCCTCCTACACAGAGGGAGGCACAGAAAATATTTATATTATGAAATTTAAAATTACCACTAACAGGCAACAAAGAACACAGCCACAAAGAGTTATCTTTCACAAGACAGAAGAGTCCTCTACCCCACCTACACATTCCTGACCCCCCGTGCTGAAAACTCTACCAGTAATTAGAAATTCAGCACCACCCAAGGCCCCACCAATGTGTGATTCTCCCAGTTGGCAATGACTGGTTTCCTTGTGGATTTCAGCTTATTCTTCCAGCCGATCATACCTGAAACCTCTGACAGTCAAAAATATAGGAAGAACATCCCTAGGGCATTAAGTGTGACTAAAACTGATACAATTTCTACAGATTAAGTTTAGTTTTGTGGAAGGTATGATGAGAAATAAGGTATGAGCCATAGTCACTAGATGGTAAGTGCTTTGTGGGCAGATACTGTGGCTCAGACCTGTATTTCTCATCATATTCCATACATCATAGACGTCTAATCAATATTTATTGATGAATCACATTGGTTAAGCCTCGGACTCCAGATGGCTTCAGCTTAAGGCAAAACAATTATTTCTTCCATATTTTGCTTTTTACACCATCTGTAAGCACACTGTAGTGAGTGATCACTTTTCAGACTTAATTTAACTACCTCAAAAACTTTTACTAACAGTGACTCACTTTTAAGCTTCTTAAGAAAGCTAGCCCAATGAGCAAAACATGTGGGTGCTTTGAGATTGTGTATTTGTAACTGGAGCAACTGGTCTATATTACAATCTAGAAACTGACCACTCTGGTAATTTAAACTTTTTACTCTTGCATCTCAGATAAAGAAAAAGCTTATTTTTAATAGCATTTTCCAGGATTTACGTAGCTAACCCAATATCACAGAAATAAGATCGCCAGTGGGCTGAATCTTAAAGGTCTAGGCATTCCATTTTGACCCAGAGTCATGCTGAAAAATAAAGGTCTTAAAAAAATACATTAATAATAATACAGTAGCTATGATGTCACGAGAGCTGTAAGAAAAATGACAGACAGTAATAAGGATTAGAAAACTTCAATTTCCAGCCAGGCGAGGTGGCTCCCACTTAAAATCCCAGCATTTTGGGAGACCAAGGTGGGAGGACAGCTTGAGCCCAAGAGCTGGAGACCAGACTGGGAAATATAGGAAGACCCCCTCCACCCGTCTCCACAAAAATAAAAATAAAAAATTAGCCAGGTGCGATGGTGCACACCTGTAGTCACAGTTACTCAGAAGGGTGAGGTGGGAGGATCTCGTAAGCCCAAGAGGTTGAGGCCATAGAGAACTATGACCCCACCATTGCTCTCCAGCCTAGGCAAAAGAGCGACACTCCGTATCAAAAATAAAAAAAGGAAAAAGAAAACTTCAACTTTCAAGGTACTGAAAATACTTTGACTCAATCCCAGCTATTCTCCAACTGGGCTTGCAAATTAAGTTAGGAGGCTGTTTGGTCCACAGCACCCACTGCCCACAATGGGAAAAGAGGACAGGTTACAGAACGCCAAGTCAACTCCAGATTTGTCTCCCAGACTAACACTCTTGCACTTTACATTCCGCAAGAGATACCCTTGTTTCTCCTTCAAAAAATACTAACACCAAGGTGCTCTATCACTTTTTATTAACTTAGAAACCTCACAAAATGCAATCACTAATCCTACTTTTCTACTGCAGTCCTAGAGTTAGACGAGGTTAATGATATCACCTACCAAAGAGAAAATATTTTCAGGGCAATTCAAAGCCCCTATTTGATTCTTTTAAAATGACTATATTTGTCCCTTGACTTATGAGACTGAGCAATTAAAAAAGTTGTTCTGGGCCAGGCATGAGGCCAAGGCGGGCGAATGACCTGAGGTCAGGAGTTCAAGACCAGCCTGGCCAATAAGGTGAAACCCGTCTCTACTAAAAATACAAAAATTAGCCAGGCACGGTGGTGGGCATCTGCAGCCCCAGCTACTTGGGAGGCTGAGGCAGGAGAATCGCTTGAACCCAGGAGGTGGAGGTTGCAGTGAGCTGAGATTGCGCCACTGCACTCCAGCATGGGC